AGACTTAGTTTAGTGCAGCTCCTCAGACTGACAATGTCTTTTGGATAAAAGACGAAACGTTTCAACAAGAAGAATCCACCCAGAGGACCTAACAACTTTTTTTAAATATTTTTCTGGGCATACTGTTGGTGTGCTCTCACCTTAATTTCAGACGAGTTTTATTTGTCTGTCTTACTCCCTACTTAGGCTGCTACCCCCGCGACCCGACCCCAGATAAGCAGAAGAAAATGGATGGATGGAGTTTTATTTAAATCATTCCTTTTTGTTTATATTTCAGACGAATAGTCTGAGCAATTATATTAATCACATTATGCCCTCAAAACCACGCTGTTTGCCTTCATCCAAACCCCTTAATTACATACATATCCAATAAAACACAGCGCTTTAATTGAGTTTTTTCTCTTTTGTCCTGCAGCCGAGGGTATTAACTCTAAAGCAGCAGTGCAAGTCATAATATGTAAATAGCTAAAACAAGGGAAAAAAACTCCAGCGGGACTCAAAAGTATATAGTTAAGTTTTAAAGTTGCACATATCAGAAATAGGTTATTTTATTAAAAGCTTTTTTTCGAAACATGACCTCATTAGTATTCAGAAAGTTCAGTGTAGGTGGTTTCTTCAGCAATGCTGGCAGACAAAAACAAGACACTGAGCCGCAAATGAGCTCAAGTTGATCAGAATATTAATGTGCATAAAAACGTTCTTTTAGATTCAGCTAAAATCTAAAATAATGGAGCAAAAAGGACCTCCAACATAATGCTTATTTCACTGAACTCTCCAGTAGGAAACACAAGATGCAATCTAATGTCAGAAGAGAACAGCTCAAGTACATTATCACAAGACATGTCCAACATAGTGTGTACCCATCTCCCTATAAGAAAGTCAGGGTAAAATGTCCCCCCACAGTTTAAAAAATGAATTTCAGGCCCAATATAAGCCTCCCCTGTGGCATCTCAGCTCAGGAAGTACAAAATGAGCCACATGGCAGCAGCCATACATGTTTCGACCACCGATTCACAACGGCATGTAGCAGGTGAAAACAACTTTTAACTCAATCCTAGCATCGCTCCATCTCTGATCTGCTGGTGGTGCTGACCCCTGAAGAAACTCAACACTTAGTCACCACACAAATTTTTATTTTTTTATCATTCCTTCTATTGGCTGCTCACTTCTTCAGGGGTCGTCACAGCGAACCAAGTTGCACAAAGACGTAGCAATTATTTTTACGCCAGATGCCCTTCCATCCACCGAGCTACCACAGCCCTCTGTGTGGAGCAAAGAGCTGCCATCTAGGGTGCAGATGGTGGGGGTTAAGGGCCTTGCTCAAGGGCCCAGAGTGGGGCAAATGAGAGTGGAGACAGGTGTGGGTGCTTCAACAATCCCACCCACATTTTGATGTTGTCAATACCGGGAGTTGAACCAGCGAGCTTCCAATCACAGGTCCACCTTCTCTAACCTCTGCGCCACCATTCCCCCTCAGTCACCCAAGTTCAAGTTGTGTTTATTTGTCATTTGCAGGTTAACAGTACAATGGAATGCTTGGGATGAGAAGAACCGATTGGACTCGCTAAAAAAAAACAACCAAAGAACAAAGAAACAAGAAATACTAACGCAAGCAATAAGAGTACAAAATAAAGTACCAAAAAGTGAAAAAGTAATTATAATATTTACAAGGTCCTAAAGAGAAAACAGTGAACAACATAGTAGAATTTTAACGGTGCAAGTAGGATGAATTTGAATGAAAATGTATTTAGGTAGTAATATAAGCTAAAGAGCACATGCTATATACGAATACTTATAAAGTATAAATTATATAAGTAAAAATATAATACTTTTACACAAATGCTTAATGCAAATCTCACCAACATTTGTAAAATGTAAACCATAATTCTATTGAGAACATGAAAGATTTTGGCGTCTGGTTATTGTAAGTCTTTCATTTTTCTTTTGTTTTATTGCTACAATTTATATTAAAGTTAAACCTTTTTCTTCAGTGGAAACCTCTTTTATTAGGCTACGACATTATCCAGAATCATTAGCAGCACACTAAACACTAATGGACCTGCTCTGTGGAACACATTAATGTCACCTTTTGATTTTCTTGTCTTAATACACGAGCAAATAACCCCCTAAAAAAGACATAACTTTTTTTTAATGGTTCAAACCTTTAGGTAGACATAGGAAAGATGGTAATCTGAACATCTTTATGTTATGAAAAGACTGAAAAACATATTGAAAATTTATATTCATTGTCATAACAGTGAGCACAGTGTTGATATTCCAAAGAACTGAATGTACAGAAACAAAATGAGCTACTCTAAGTGTACCTTGACTTTATTTTCATAGTTCACATATAGCCACCGTACCATGAAACAGAGGGCACTGTATTTAAAATATTTAGAGACATACCAAATGGTACTGTTGGTAGGCCTATCGCGATAAACAATAAATCAATTAATCGCATGATAAATGAAAATTAGACCTCATTTTCATTTATCGCTTCATTGTTTTTTCGTGTCTCTCTTTCTACTGAAAACACTGTTGAACTCCGGTGTTCTTCATTGACCCCTCCCTTTCTCTTTAAAATCCATATTAACCATCCAAAAATCACGTTTTTGGATGGTTAGCAGCTAAGCTGAGAAGCTAAGCTACGAGCTAACAGGCCGAACTCGAGAAAAAAATCTCCGTCTTGTCGAAGCTCCAAAATTCACATTTGAAACCCGTTCCCTTCATGTAAAAACTTGTTTTTCCTCTGCAAAATGAAGTTGAGAACTTGTTTACTGATTTTTTAAAAAAAAAAAGCTTTAATGCTATGCTAAAGAGCTCAAACCACACCTAGCGTTCGCCATTTTGAGATCTGAAAAAAGGAAAGAGAGACAGCCCATGTCACGTCAAGGGGCCTCCCTCCCACTTTCCTTAAACGCAGCTCGCTCCCTCACTATCCATCCTTCGGTTCAAACAATCTTATGCTGCCATCCAGTGGTCAAAAAAGGTACTACACTCAAAACAAATTAACCAACATTTCTTCTTAAAATTGACAATAATTACTAATTATTGTCAAATTGCAAACAATATTATCATTTATCGCAATAATTTCTGAGACAATTAATCGCCCAGCAAAATTTGTTATCGTGACAGGCCTAACTGTAGGTAGCATGTATGTGTTGTGGTTGATCCTCAAATCTCAGCTGTCCAGGGTGTACTTGGTGTAACGCCTCATGGATAGGTGAGATAAGCTAAACACACACACACAACTCTGAGCAGGATGAATGGATATACCTACAGTGTTGTGAAAGGGTGAATTCTTGTCATAATGAACCAATCAGCCTTTCTGCTTTCTTGTTTCCAAATATTTTCTCTTGTGCACACAAGTCAAAACCATTTCCGGCAAGCAACTCAAAATATAAACTTCAAAAAGCCATCAAATATAAGCATCTCTGCTGATATTAGTAAAGTCGAGAGAAGCCGACAGGTTTCTTCTTCATATCACTATAATACAAGTAAAGCTGCACAAAGAGCACAAGGACTGCACGTCCAACAGTTTGGGACACGACGCCGTCCCCACCTGTATAAAAGTGGACACTTTGTATCAACTGTAAACTCTGGGGATGTCGACGCTGCAACTTTTTTTTTAGATGAATATCGGGCAGAGTGGTCAAGAAACAAACAGATGGACGTAACTTTTTAGAGGTCACTTTGTAGAAGGCAACTTTTTATTGCACTTTTGAAAATGTATGACCTGAAAGAATGAATATTTTACAACAAAAAAAGATGCATGTTAATACAACTAAATCTCTCAAAATAGGTTCATTGCATAAAAAAAAAAAAAAGGAACATGAATGTACTGGCAAGTTCCCAGAGAGGATTATCCTGTAAGTTTTCCATTAAATGAAAGATCAGCAAAACCAGTGTTTTAGATAAACATGTAAACATGTTTGTGGCGGATCTCTTCACATTTTGAGCTCCTTCATCGAGTCGTTTTGATCTGAGATACACCGAATCATTGGCCAAGATACTAAAAAATGACCAAGTAGGAAAATGAAGATCTAGTTTAGTTTTAGATTGTTTTTCAAGTGGTCAGTTTTTTTTCTAGTTTGTTTAATATTTGTTTATTTAGATTAAGTAAATATTTACTTTTTAATGTGAAAAATATATAATCGACTCCCAAAAAAAAAATCTGTGTTGTATATCAGCCATTGATGTTTTAAAATCGATATAATCGGCTAAAGAAACCTCATATCGATGGATTTGTAATTTTGAGTCTGACAGTGGCAGCATCATGCAAACTGGTTGTTTAGGGGAAAAATCCAATATAACTTTATAAAAATAAAAAATAAAACTATTAATTGTAATGTTAAATATACATTTGAACAGATCCTGACTGATTACATTTTTTATGAAGGTGGCTGACAGTTTAATCACAGTAAACCATTAATTTTGTGGGATTAAAAACAAACTTTAAAAAAAAAAATATCACTTTAATGTAAACAATGTTGGGGTTAGTATTTTTAACACTTTGTCAAAAGTCCTTATTAATTGGAATCTGAACACAGCATTTAATGATCAATTAAAATATAATAAAATCTTCACCAGTTTGTACTGGTAAAGTTGTAAAATTAAATTCAACAGTAGCTAAATTACCATTACGTGTGATATATGCGTTTACATAAAAGTTAATGATAGACTTTAACGAATATAATCACATTGATTATAGTTTAAATCAGTGCAATTACATTTATTTTGCAGCAACTAAAGCAGTAAACTGAAGTTTCCAGTGTCGGTTATTTGATCCATCCTAGTGAAAATTAAGAATTACGAGGCAAAGCGAGGATTTAAATGTTGGAACGTGAACGCCTCACAGGGAAAGTTCAGGCTCCGGGCTGTTCCCTCAGCTGGGGTCTGTCCGCAGCGGCGGGCTGTTTTCACCGCCTCGCTTCAGCCTCGACGCTCCGTGACAGTTCAGCTCGCAGTTTCAAAACAAAACAAAATATGCTCCACTTTACCTGCGAGATGTCATAGCACACTCTGAAAGTTGTCCGGTCTCCCGAAGCGTTCCCCTGCTGCCGTTTCGGAGCCGCCGCGCCGTTAACCAGCTCAGACCGCGGAGTTGAAGATGATTACTGACGCAACTTCCGGGTAGTACCCGTCAAAATAAAAGCTTTCTTTTTTTTCAATCGTATTTTTTTCTTAGTCTGTTAATGTGAACTTCCTGTTTATTGTTTATATTTTTACCCACATATCTATTAAAAATACAAAATACAGTATATTTTTTTGCAACTTATCTTTCTTTTGCCAAAGTTTACTATTTTACAGTTTCTTTCCCCCCCCCCCCCCCCCCACACAAACTTTGTCTTCCATCCATTATCTTAACCCACTTTTCCTTTTCGGTTCACTGGTGTCCATATCCAGTAGGTACTGCGTGGGAGGCAGGGGACACCCTGAACAGGTCTCCAGTCCATCACAGGGCCACCAAATAATAATTAGAGTTACTAATTAGCCTAACATGCATATGTTTGGCCTGTGGGAGGAAACCGAAGTACCCGGAGAAAACCCACACATGCATGGAAAAAGCATGCAAACTCCACTCAGAAAGGCCCCCCGGCCAGGATTTGATCCAGCGACCTACTCACTGAGAGGGAACAGCTCTACCAACTGCACCACTGTGCAGCTCTGTCTTTTATAATAACTCTCATGTTTAAAATTATTTTGCTGGCCTTCAGGTTCACACTATTTAGCCTCGGTAATATTTAATTATCTGTCTGAAACATCACTAAAGCTTACAGTCACACATTGTTGGCATTTGTCTATAAGTAAGGCTACCAGTTTTCAGTCCTGTATCTCAATGTGCGTCTTCAAAAATAAATAAAAATACAACTTATACACAAAAATGCGAGTCTTAATCAAGCTTATTGTGCTATAATTTTTGGTTGCAGAATGTTGCACAACACAGGACAAAATTGTACAACAACAAAAATGTGAGGAAAAAAATGGGATGGTCATTTTTATACAAACTTTTAGAATTTTTACAGATTTTATCACAGAATGCACAACAGACAGCTGATGATGTCACACTAATTTTTGAGCTATCTGAAATGTTGTTGTTTTTACAAAAATAATCCTCTCACTTCCACAAGTTGTTTTGGCACATAAACAAAATATACATACAAATGTAGGGATTTTTAAGAAATACTTATTTCCCCCAGTGTGTCTCTCACTGCTGTAGTTTTGTCTTAAATTCCCCCAATACAGAGTGGGCCCTCCCAGGCTTCCATACCTTTCAGTTATATATAAGCTCAAATATTATCTTCTGCCATTTATGGTTCAAAATTTTAAAAAGTCATCTTTTCATTATTTATTGCACAACTATTAGTTTAAAGTGTAATATTCAATCTGTTCCTGTCGGCCACTTCTTAAAATGGCAGTCAGGGAGTGACAGAAAGAGGCTAGTGGTTACCATGGTAACCACATTGAGCCACTTGCAACAGCTTTAGCATCATTTTTTCTTGGTTCACTTTACATTTTTTTATACAAATATGTAAAATGTAGTATTTTTTTTTTTTCTTACCTTAAAATTCATAAAACGTTTCGTTAGAATTTTAGGCAGGAGCTGCATTGACACAATGCATTTTCCTAATTTAGTTTAAAGTACATACATATCAATTGTTTTATGACATCTGGTGTAAAGCCACTGCCAAAACTTTTTTGCAAGTTTGTTCGATGTGGAGTGAGCAGCTGAAAGAAAAAACATTTATTCCAATGGATGTAACAGGAATCTAACCCCTGCAGGGGACTCTGTGCAGCTGTAAAGCTCAGCCTCAGTCATTTGAGCGAAAAGGCTGATCTATACCTCCTCTTGTGTTACACATTCATTACGGGACAGCCTCTCAAATCTGAAAAGGTGCACGTTGGTGGTGCATGAGAAGAGCAGGCTATAAGCATTGAGCAGCGCTGACGTCATCAGCCCTGGTTATCAGTGTAGGTTAATCTACTCGGTGAAGCTCGGGCTTATGCAATTGTTTGTGAGCCCACAGGCTTCACATATATGGATTTACTTTTCCACTGTTAGACTAGTGAGCAGCTGCAGCCTGCAAACACACAGTCAGGTTGCAGAAAAGGGAATTTCTCCTCTCTGTGGATTCTCTCCAGCAGATCTTTTTCTTTTTCTGCCAGAAAACGTTGTGCTGCAGGCAGCAAATGGATTTGAATACAGAGTGTGTTATTTGTGTTTGATTAGCAGCTAAAATGATCCTATTGATTGTGTTTGGCAGTACAAACTAACAGGGATGTGAGAAAACTTGAATCACAAGCTGGCAGGACTCACAGTGCTTAATAAGTGAGTGACACACTTAGAAAACACAGTTACTGTGACCTATTAAACAAGGTACTTTGCATATTTTGCATATGTTTATCAAGACGAAACTGAAAAACACTTCTTTGTGGTACCTGTTATTTAATAACTGGAGAAAAAGGACTTTGGCTTCCTAATTTATTTTTTAAAAAGCCAACTATGTTCTTATAAAGGATTGTGTGATTTTAAATAAAATGAGCCTTCTTCCACCTGTTCACTATCATTTAACACCTTGTCCCAAAAAGAGGCAGAAAGACTGCTCCATGCGTTTAGACTATTGTCATTTTTTATTATAAGGACATTCAAAAACTCCTTAAAAAATTATTCAGTTGATAGAAAATATTGCTGCGAGAGTTCTGATGAGCATCAGAAGGAAAGATCATATTTATCCCATTTGTTTCTAACATACAAAGCTCTCAGCAACAAAACTCTATTCCTTCCTTCCATCCATCCATCCATCCATCCATCCATCCATCCAACCATCCATCCATCCATCCATCCATCCATCCATCCATCAACCATCCATCCATCCATTTCCGCTTATTCCGAAGTTTAAAAACTTCTTGTTCCATATTTTCCTTTCAGAGTAGTTTGCTCTCAGACTTCCAGTTTACTTGAGGTTCCTAGAGGTTCTAAAAGTAGAATGGTAGGCAGAGCTTTCAGTTCTTGTGAGGTTAGAGTTTCTAAAACCAGACTGGGAGCCAGAGCTTTCAGTTCTTGTGAGGTTCCTAGAGTTTCTAAAAGCAGAATGAGAGGCAGAATTCTCAGTTCTTGTGAGGTTCCTAGAGTTTCTAAAAGCAGAATGGGAGGCACAGCTTTCAGTTCTTAAGCCCCCCCTCTCTTGTGGAACCAGCATCTGTCCGTGAGGCTGACATCTTGTCTACTTATTAGATATACATTTTTCGTTTTAATAACAGTTAGGGTTGGTTCTAGGATTCCGGAGCTATCCCTTAGTTAAGCTGCTATAGGTTTATACAGCTGGAGGACAAACTTACCACATTTCCTCACTCTGTTACTGTCTCTCTACTCTCCGTTTGTATCTGCAATTATTGTTGCCATTTACCTTGTGTCTTTCTTTTTCATCTCGTAGAAACCTTAGACCAACCCTTCCGTGTCTCTTTCCTGTCCTCCGACATCCCAGCCGGACAAGACAGATGTTTGCTCATCCCGAGCCTGGTTCAGGTTCTGCTGGAGGTTTCTTCCTGGTAAAATGGAGTTGTTTCTTTTCACTGTCGCCAATGTGCTGCTCAGGATGGGAGATTGAAACAAAGACGATTCAAAACAATCTACTGACTTCCTTCGAAAGATAACAGCATTTGGCTTTTCATAATGTTCTGTGTGAAAGTCACTATTCTGAACTAGGTTTATGATTTAAACTTGTTTTCATTTTTCATTTAGGGATTAAAAACAGCCCAGAAGACAGGATTTTTAAAGGAACTGTTCCCTCAATTTGGTTTAGAATTGGATGAAAGACAATTTGTTTGTCTCCAGAAAGCTTGAGGAAAAGAAGCTAGACTGATATTTAGTAATCTCTGCAAAAGCATTCCCTTTTATTTTTTTATGGATGAAAAATAAATAAATAAAGGAAATCTTTGAGGTTGAACATAATTCTTCTTCTTAAACAAGCCTTTACCCCCTAAAATTCCAAAGTTTTTTTAATTCTTGTTTTTAAATTATAGAAGTGGAACTAAAACAATTTTTAAAATGCAAAACATTATTTTTTTGCTTTTGCAAGTCACTTTAATCACAATAACAAAATTAAATTAGGACCACATGAACTCTGTATCTAAATATCGAATAAAAACAACTGCAAATTTTTTTAAACAAATTTCTTACATTGTGTTTTTTTTAATGACATTTTAATGCCAAATATATTTTAAAAGGAAACGAGTGACTGTTGACAGAACTGTGAATTATATTGCTCAAGCAGGTTTCATGTGGGCAGTGGTTTAATCTTCAGATTTGATAAAATAATTTAAGACATATACATTTAATACACAGTTTAAAGCATTATTGAAAGGACTTTATAGTTATTGTGGTGTAAACAGAAACCGTTCCTGGACTGAAACATCCAGTTTTATCACCGTGCAGACTGATGTCCTGTTGAGTCTACAAGTAATAAATAAACTCAAGAACACAAAGCCTTGTTTCCCCCAGGGAACTGCAAACCATCCATCTACCCTGAGGTGACTCCCTCTGTTAGGGTGTGACCTTTGACCTCTGAGCTTTTAAAATCTGTCTGTTTATAAAAGAAAAAACAAATATCTGGAAAGGCAAACAAAGAGACCCTATATCAGGAGTGATGCAACTGCTAGACTGGTGATACAAAAATAAAATTTCTTAACATGTAAATGATAAGTTCATTTCCATAGTTTAAAAATAACAACCAAATCAATTTATCGAAAAATTCACAAAGAGCTCTTTTGTGAGGCGCTAGTCTCAGATAAAAAGCTTAAAAGGAATTTAGCTATGAGAAGACCAGGGTTTTGCTGGGAAATTCATTATTGGATCTTTTAACAAACTGCATCCATGCAACCATGTGGGGGCTCGTCCGGGATTTGAAGAACTTTGACTAGACTTGAACAAGTTTCCAGAGTGATTAGAATAGTGTGTTGGTTTGTTTTAGTGATAGGCTCAGTAGTTTTGTCGTCTTCTGAGGACATTTAGGCCCTCTGCTTCTACTTTAAGTCACACAAAGTGATTTTTGCCTTTTTTTTGTTGTTGTTTAGTCTCCTGTTTACAACAAAGCTATATTGTTATCATTTAATTCCTGGGTAGCTCTTTAATAATACTTCCAACTTATTAACATGAAAATGAAGTTTCTGCAGTTGAAACTCTCACTGGACGAATCCTTCATCTAAATCTTTTAATTGCATTTTAATTAACATAACCTTCAATGCAGTGCCCTTCTTCATCATTAACTTCAAATAATTTAATCTAATTAAATCTTGGGCTTAATAAAAATGCTTCTGAATTTGGGATTCCAATATAATATGTGAAACTGCACAGCTGCTATTCTGCTCAGTTCTGGGCTTTCTATCCCCATCAGATCATCTCAGACTGCTGTAGGTGGTTAGAAATACATACAACGCTGCTGTAAACAGAAATGCTGTCTGATTGCATAATCTCATGTCTCCCAACTATTGGTTGTGACTCTCAGCTACTACTACATCAAATTTTAGCTCGATATCTGTAAAATTGACAGAGGCATAGCCATTTTTGTGCTGATTAATGGTAATTAGCTGTGGGACCCAGCTTCACTCCACAAGTCGATCAGTTGTAGAAGCACCTCCAGTGATTCTGAGTTTCAGTTAAATCAGTTTGCTGACAGACAAACGGTGGTGATTTAAATAGTTAATTCTAAAGCTTTAAGCAGAGATGAACGCAAGTAATTATGGGCTAAATCACAAGTACTAAAATGCAAACTGACTCGAAATGAAAACAAAAACAAGATAAAGGGCTCCATTTGGTAGACGTTTTATTTCATGGTGGAAGGAACACAAGACAAAGGTCATAAAGTTAGTAATGTTCAGGTCATGCCACTCTTTACTCGGTGCACTGCCCTTTGACGAGGTCTGCGCAGTCTGACAGTAGTTTACAGAGGTCAAACATGGAGGATTATCCACATGGAGACATAAATAAGAAACAAAAGCAAATTTAAAACAGTAAATATAAGTTTTTTTTTCTTATTTTGTAAAAATCCAAAAGGGAGAAGCCCTTTGGGATGTTCCCCCCCCCCCCTCCCTATGTATGGGGATTATTACTAATCTCAATCTTTTATGTATTACTCATTTACATTATTGGGATGAGGCTAATACAGCGGCTAAAATAAGGAAACGGTTACATGGATGACGTCTTTATGAGCTGCTCATGTGAACAGGTTTTTAAGGCAATTCAGTTTCCGTCAACGCCACGTACTGTTGTGTCCAATTACAACCCAACTGGGTTGATACCCCCCCCAGTTTGTTAAAATAAAAATTAAAAAAATGAACTAACAGAGTGAATCTTAGGACACCAGAAATGGTTTCCCTGTCTGGAGCTTGAATACACACAACATAATTATAGCTTTAGGGTAAATTCCCCCTCATGTACAGAAGAATATTACTTTATGGGTGAACAGACAAGTCAGACACGGCTCCAGTGTATCTTACTAAAAACATAAACCTCCACAGGTCACACATTTGCTAAATTTACATTTGAAAATCACAGGGCTGTACAAAAACTCTATGATTTAAGGAGGGAAACATAATTAAGAACTCAGGGGGGAAAAAGTACAAGACCATTTGATACTCGACCACGAACAGGCATGATTTAGTCGTAGAATATTGCCAAGGTTCTCATATCAAAACAAGTGTCGTCTCAGTTTATTGCGTTCAGCAAAGACGACTGCGTTGCAACAGTCCACGGAAAGTTACAGAACCCATGCGCTGCTATGTTAACTTGCAAGGACTGCAAGATCTATTATGGATCTTTTTTTATTTTCAGTTTTTGCGGCTGTTATGGCTTCAAAAAGTCACAAGAACACACCAGTCTCTCTCTCATCATCATTCTTTTTCTCATTCTAGAGCCAAAACAAAACGCGTTCCTCCGGGAATGTTCCTTTATGATTAAAAAAAAGAAGAAGAAATTAAGTCTTTTGTGTGGAAAAACTGATTGTTGTTTGTTGGACAGGAGTCATAGCTCTCTCCTTGATTCCTCTCACTGTCCTTTTTCTCTTCAGTCTTTGCTTCCAGCACCTCCTTAAGGTCAAATACGGTAACAACTCTTGCAAAACTAACTGCTCCCGAGAAAAATACAAAGAAACCAAAAACCAGTACAGGGAATAATAATCTTAAAACATAATTTTCCAATCTGTACTTTATGAAAGTGGAAATAGGGAGAAAAAGAAGGCAGAAAATTGAAAATTTGGGGGAACTAAATGTTAATAAACAAACAAAAACCCAGATTTAAAACCAACACTGCAGAAGTGCATGCATTTATAGTGGTCAACATTAGTTCATCTGCTGATTGTAGAACAGAACGCACAACAGTACATGATAGCTCCAAAAAGAACTCATCTTACATATTCACAGTCTTAGGTATTATTTATATAGTCTATATTTATAACATTTATGGGTATTTATGATTCATTTCTGGACTGATGACTAATGATATGAGAGTCGTGGAACGCAGAGTTCTTTTCTCCGTCACGTCGGGTTGCAGTGTTAGTGAGTCACATTTCAAAACTAAAGCCTCTGATGGGACCGACTGGAGAGGTTTTTTTCCTTTCTTTTTTAATTTCAAAGGTGTGAGATGGGGGTTGATCGAATGGTTTCGACAGTGTACTTGTACACTGTAGCAGCTGGACTGATATTTGAAAAGTCTTATTAGGAAAATATAGTGGGTTTCTTGAAGGTTTATGCAACACACGGTGTCCCAGCTCTCATGGGGGAATGTATGTCTTTATTTTTATAGGTCATGCTCGGGGAATGTACGTATGGCACCAAGACAAGGCAACAGCCAGAGATAATTAGCGAGGTCCACCGCGTTCAAGTAATGAGTGAAGCAAAATCGAAAGGTGATGATTTAAAATGAAGACAATATGAGGAAAATATTTTTTTTCCCCCACAAATACTTTTTATCTTCCAAAAGAAAGGTTGAAGGGCTATAAATGTACTGTAAATGTAGATATGAAAAAAAAAAAAAAAAGGGAGAAACAATTACAAAAAAAACAAACAAACATAATATTTAAACCAAAATTAGAACATATATATATATTTTTTCATACAAAAAGCAATGAAAAGTATACAAAAATAGAAAATAATTACAGCAGGAGACATGGCGCTTATGGAGGGAGCGGGCGGGAGGGTTTCTTGACATGTTTCATTTTCGGTCTCGCAACTTTTTGTCTCTGCCCGGTTCATTTGGAGGCGGAACAGTGTAATATTTTAGGGCTGTTTAAGGCGTCCTCCACCAGGTGGACGTCCACGCCGTCCACCACCACATCCTTGATGCAGCCCATGAAGCCGGTGCTGTAGGCCTTGGGCAACCGGCGCGCCACTGCCAGCTCCTCTAGACCACCTGAGGAGGGACAGACAAGAAATTAACACATCAGAAAGACAAACAAGAAACATGAAACACTCACTAAACTGTTGGCCTTGGCTACTACTGTCTATGCTTTATGAAGACAGTACAACATCACCATCATGAACACCCATGACATGGCGTCGCTTGGTGATTTGAGCTCTTTAGCATAGCATTTATCACACAAAGCTTTTAATAAAAAAATATAAAAAAAAAACTCTGTAAACAAGTTCTCAGCTTCTTTTTGCAGAGAAAAAACAACTTTTTACACAAAGGCACGTGTTTCAAACGTGAATTTTGGAGCTTCGACAAGACGAAGGTGTATTCCCGAGGTCGGCCTGCGATTTTGGACGGTCAAAACAGATTTTAAAGAGAAAGGGAGGGGTCAGTGAAGAGCACCGGAGTTGAGCCGTGTCTTCAGTAAAAGAGAGGGACATAAAGAAAGGATAAAGCCGGTAAATGAAAATGAGGTCGATAATTTTCATTCATCATGCGATTAATTAATTTATTGTTTATCACGACAGGCCTACGGGGGAGAGGTCAGACTCCAGAAACCATCTCATCACCATCAAACTGGTTAGCCCACTATGTGAGTGTGCTGCTTATGGGACTGAGTTTGTTGTGGCTCCTTGGACCGATGAAGTCTTTTGGATGAAGGACGAAACGTTTCAACACAAACAAACCGTCCAGACGGGACTTAACTTTCTTGGATTTTTTTACCTGGATTATTGAGCATGAGCTTTGATGTAATCAAAGGGATGACATCTACAAGAGATTAACATTTAGTCAAGCCAATTCAAGATGGCCACCACAGCCATCTGACCTTAGAAGACACACAAATGGCTATAACTTAACCAGTTTAATAGATAATGAGTTAAACTTGTCAGTGCAAGTAGATGAGATTTTCCCCAACACATACTCTGAGCTCAACACAAAACCTGGCATTAACAGCTGGAGACAACTCTGTTAGCAAAATATCCCTTAAACCACTTAATGTATTTTTAGCTTTTGGAGTCAGTCCGGTTTAAAATGGCTGCTGCAGCTAATCAACCTTAGCCAACATAAAAATGTCTGACAGTAAATTTGACAGATTTTGAGCTAAAATTTGGAACAGTAGTGAGTTGGAGTCAGACACAACACATACGAGGAGTTAGAGAAAATAGCTATAGAAGAACTGTATGTCTTTTCTCAACATAAGATTATATACTATCATAGTTTAAAGCTCTGGCATGAAAGGAGGCTGGTTTCCATCGCAGGGCTTCAGAAGACAGAACTGTTTCATCACCGGCAGAGAAAACCTCGGCATGATTAGTAGCTGATCTTCTGTGCAAAACTCAACTTTCAAGATCAAACAGCAGGATGAGGGGTTGGATTTCAGAATAAATTAAAGGGGAAAACTCCCAGAAATAATGTAAAAACAATCAAAGCTGCTCCTCGGTTTTGTCAGGCTGTTACAATCATGTTATTTCACATGACGACGGCAGATGACGGACATGACAGGCTGACGGTTTCTTCTTCAAATCATCACAGTCAATAAGAGATGGAGTCTGATGGCAGCTACAGAAGAGACGTTCTTTTTTTTAATCTGACAGTGCGGGAGTGCAAAAAATGTGTTACAATTGAAAAGAGGTGACGAAGGTGGGCGATAATGTTTTTGCCTGTTGGTTCATTAATTGAACCTTTATTTATACAGGTTAGTCTCACTGAGTCACGAAGACTCATTTACAAGAGAGACCTGTTCAAGACAGACAACAATAAACTATAGTAAAATGCAATTAAACTAAAAGTAATGCTATAAAACAATAAATCAAGGTGCCATATAAAACAAGATAAAATACTAAAATCAAGAAGATATTTGCTTTGATGTTTCTATTGACATTATCAAATGTTTAAAATACTCTAAAGAAATCAAGGTGGACAACTTCAGTTCTTGTTGCAAGGTGTTCCAGGTTACAGGAGCGGAGTAGGAAAAGGCCTTTTTGCCAAGTTCAGCCTGCACTGAGGGAACGCTGCAGGTAATGATGGACTGAGAGCACATGTTGTAACTGACAACGTGACATGCGGGAGGAGATATAAGAAGATAGAAGACCAAGGAAAGATTTATAGATGAAAATGAACCAGTGTGAGAGCCTACGTGTAGATAATGATGACCAACTGACCAGGGAGTACAGGGTGCAGTGATGGGTACGGTAGTTACAACCAGTTATGAATCTTAGCGCGCCATGGTAAACGGCATCCAACATCTGCAAGGATCTGGCAGGGGCATTCATGTCAATAATGTCACCATAATCAATGCTTGGTAGGAAAGTTGCAGCTACAAGGTGTTTTCTGACAGTCAGAATTAAGCAAGATTTATTTCTGAAAACGAAACCCAGTTTTAATTTCAGTTTCTTTATCAAGTTTTCAACATGTGACTTAAAAGAAAGATGTGCATCAACCAAAATTCCCAAGTATTTGTAAGAATCTACAAACTCAATAGGAATGCCACGCATGGATGAGATAGGAGGAAGAACTGCTGGCACTAACTTTCTGTTTGAAAACATCATCCCTTTGGTTTTATCTTTATTTAGCACCAGCTTGAGATGGAATAAGTCTGACTGAATTGATGTCAAATGCAGACTGTAGAAGCTGGAAAACCTTGGCAACTGTGTTAGCTCAACAATAAACGAGAGTGTCATCGGCATAGAGATGTAAGGATGCATCAGGAATGTTTTGACCTACAGTACTTGTGTAATTGTAAAAAGAGTGGGTCTTAAAACTGAACCTTGCGGCACACCATTAGTGACCGTTGAGTAGCTAGATGAAGTACCGTTCTGTCAAACGCAATGCCTCCGACCTGAGTTGTGTTTGTGTGTCTAAAATATCTGAAGACCTGCTGGAGGAATATTAAAGAAAATTATTTAATGGATGTACATCGGCAACTGATTCAAGATGGCTGCCACCAGGGAATACTAGACTTTTAATTTTGCAAGTGCTAACTAAATATTCTCACCTTTGTTTTCCTTTTTTTTTAAAAACTTTTTTCCATGTTTTTGGCAAGGTAATTTGGAGCATATATGCTTTTTTTAACCATTCGTACTGTTTATTAAAATGTTCAAAATGACCTGGAATAGTGTACTTCGACTTTTAGTATTAGCAACTTTAGTACTTTTGGAATTACTTCACTTTTACTGTTCAAAAAAATCCCCACAGAAATACATTTAGATCTCTTCAGTTCTGGCAAAAATAATGTTCAATCTTTACCATGCTCAATCTGTTAGTATCTTCTTGTTCCTGTTAGCTTTTAGCTACTATCTTGCAAATTTTAACAAATAATTACAGTTAGCTTATAGCTACAGTTTAGCTAAAATTAGTTTGCAGCTATGGTTTTGCAAATTTTAGCTTTTCGCAAACATTTAGTGAATTTTTGATTTTAGCTACAGTTTAGCTGATTTTAACTTTTAGCTATGGTGACATTAGTTTCCATTTTTAACTATGTTTAGTACATTTTAGCTTCTTTTCTGTTTGAACTTTAACAATCCAGTTAATTCAGTCCTGAACAAATCCCATCAAATTCATTCAGCACCCACGTTGCAATTTTTCTAGTTTATTATTCATTCCTATTAATTACTGGGTGTGATTTGAGCCACTCTTTTAATCCAGCAGACTCAAAGTTCTCATTAGTTTTTTTCTTGCTAAATCAGCATCAAGCGTCTTTATTTGGGATTTCCTGAGTGGCTTGTGAGGTTTTACCTGGCTGCTGTTTCACCTCAGATTTCCTCACCTCCTTCTCTTCCTTGTTATGTTGAGCCGTAAGTTCATATCCTTTTCAAGCTCGTTACATCCCCTGTCCCTGCCCCCATTAATCGGATTGTGCGTCTCCGAATCAGGAGTCGACAGGGCTAATTTCATGCACGTTACAGATGAATTAATGATGAGCGGTGAAAAGAGGGATTTAAAGAGAAGAAGGGCTCACGATAGGAGGGCCGCGTGAGGATTATATATTCTTGCTGCGGGGCTCACTCAGCACCTGTTCCACTGTGCTGCCTCCCCGTGTGTGCATGGATACATGCACCTGAGTGCACCTCTGCATGAGGAGACTTCCTTAAATGTCACTCAGTCAGCTTCTCCCCTTAAAGCTGCCTCTTTTTCCGCAGTGCACTTTGCATTTATATATATATACATATATACGTTTGTGTGTGTGGAACTAAGACTTTTTATTCCTCCCTCCAATCTTCAGTTTTATTTTCTCAGTTTTCTTTCCAGTCGGGTTGTCTAAGTTCTTTCAAAAGCAATTCTTCAAACCAGGTTCAGACTCAAATAAACTGCAGGCAGATAACAGGCAGCGTTTGGTCATTTTAAACACAGAAAAGCAAGAACTTAGGAGTTACTTTGATAGCTTTTCATTTTTCACCTCAAGACCAGAAAATAAACTTTTATTCACACACACTGAAATCATTTAACTCTGCTAAAGACTTTGATTATTCTTTACAATGACATTAAGTTTGTCACTCAGATTTGGCAGCATTTTAAAGGTGGCTAGAATGCAAGTACCATATTTTCCGCCGTACACGTCGCACCGCTCTATAAGTTGCATCAGTCCAAATATGTCTAATAAAGTGGAAAAATCCATAAATACGTTGCTTTGCTGTATAAGTCAAATCTATTATGCGTCACCGCTGACAATCTGGAAATGTGGGCAGGTGTTGTGCCAGAAAATTGATTGGTTGCCAAAATGGTGGCCACGGGAGCGTGCACAGGAGGACTCGCTGTGCATTTCTTTGAAATTTAACAAGATAAGCACCTAAAACAATTAATTATTTGCTCTGCATTATAGAAATGGTGTGTCTCAGTTGAAATTTTACTTAATAAATGCACTTCAATGGTCAAATTAGCTGCATTTTGCCGGGCGGTGCAGTGGAATGAAGCTGATTTGACGGTTGCTCCAAGTGAGCTGGATGAAGGTGGTAGGTTATGGCAAGCCGATTGTGTCATTAATAGCCACTTTTACCTATTACATGACACAATGGTATGTCATATTTTTACGTCTTTCTTGTAAATGAGTCCGGGAGGCTCAATGGGACGAACCTGTATAAATAAAGGTTGAATGAATACTACTCAAGTGCCATCTAGTGGCTGAAAATGGTAGTGTTCAATATTTTCAGCCAGAATGAATGAATCTCAGTCGTATGGTCATATCTCAGCCAAAAATTGGTTTATAAATATGGGGAAAAATCCATAAATACGTCGCTTCAGCATATAAGTTGCAGCATGCAAATTATGCAAAAAAATGTGACTTGTAGAAAAATACGGTATACTAAAACATTACAGTGCTGTCAAATAATGGTTTCTGTTTTTGCTCTTTGTGTCTTGTCTAAATGTTTCAGATCAGAAAACACATGTTAAAATGAGACAAAGATAACGAGTAAATATAAAATGTAATTTTTAAATAGTGACTTCATTTATTAAGAGGAAAAAATACTATCTGAACCAACCTTGCCCTAGGTACAAATAGCAGTTGCCTCCTTTGTCAAATCATTACCTTATTTTTAAAAATCTATATTATTTATTTCCTGACAGTTCTGTACAAGCATTCCTTGGCTTCATGGATGACATTTTCAGACCCATTCAAGTCAAAATGATGGTTTTGGTCTTTTTAATGAGCATGTGTGAGCACGTACCTAACCAGAGAGCTCCGTCTGTGTCCAGCTGAGTGGCTGCTAAAGGTGACGACCCCGTTACCGCTGCCTCGTTGCCGACCTGTAGAGAGCCGTCTCGGAGCGCTCTGAGGAGGAGAAAAGGGACAGTTGCGGTTAGAAATCAGTTTGGTGCATGCTTAATTTGTGGCTTCCTTCAATCTGAAACATGAAATCTCAGTTGCTCCACTTCCAGCATGCTGAAGTGTGTTTGCCAAGCAGCGTTCTGAACGAGCCCGCCTCGCAGCGAACAGATGCTTCATTCATTTAGACGGCTCCTCGCTGCACACACTGAGGAATTCTGAAGACAGTGCAAATTTGAACTCGCTAAAAGAAGCTCTTGTTTAAGGCGAGCCACAAACAGACAGAAAATTATGCAACTATGTGAGCAGAATGCCACATTGATGCCGTTTTATCACCATCCAAAATAAACAATCTATCAGCATCTCATGCGTTATCTCTGTAAGCCCAGGATGAAATTTGACCAAATCCCTGTTTAAAATGGAAGCGGCGGCCTTTCGGGGATCAATTGTTCTTGCCTTAAATGATAAAACCAATCTAATTATTCGCCACGGGTCCATTCACAGCAATGCTGAAAACAAATGTTCTGCAGCGATAAAGCCGAGAACACGGGAAGGTGTTAAATGGCTTCCTTTCAGTGTTCAGGCTGTTAATTTGTTTCTAATGAAGAAATCAATTAATGTGACATCAGTGTGCGACAAAAAAGTATTGCATGCTTTGTGTTTTTCCACTTCCAGGCTGATTATCCATCTATTATAAATGTATTCATCTGCACGGGCCTGTATAATTGTGTCCAATGCATAAATCATGTATATAAATGTGCATTAACACGAGCTACAAGCTTTAATCAAATTATAATCTAACTGTATCAAGGACCTACCAAACATAAATATGGCCTGCTGCCGGAAGGCAAACATGGAGAGATAATGTTTTCACCTGAAATATGTCATGAACCAATGGACGCTTTTTAAGGATGGTATTCATTGTGTGTGCTTCTAGAACTGATTCACTTCTGGACTCAATCTGATTCAAGATCGAATCAAAATGGCTACAACTCTGTAATTGTTTTTAACTTAGGTGATCTTGGTCTATATTTATAGCATGAAAAGTAACAGGTGTAATATTTTTCAAAGCTAGGCCTTTGATTACTGTTGTTTGAACAGGAAAACAGGTACACTAAAGAGCACTGTGTTAGAATCCCCTCTGATTCTCTCCTCGTACACCGTTTCAACCCATCATGCATTTAATCATAAGGATCTTTATAGAATACACAACATTTCTTTGTAATTTCTATTTATTTTTGTCATATTTACTTCAATTTCCTTTTCAAATTAAATCCATTTTACTGTCCCCACAGGGAACTTTTCCTTGAACAACAAAATTCTGCAGTGCTAAAATAATAGATTTATAAAACAAATGAAAAGATATTAGTAAAATATTAACAGCAAAATAACATAAAAAAATGACAATAAAACACACACAAACACACAAAAATCTATTTCATGCTTGGCATGTAAAAACACTAATACAGTAGTCCCTCGCTACTTCGCGGTTCGACTTTTGCGGACTTGCTCTTTTGTGGTTTTTCAAAATAAGAGTGGACATGACATACAATTGGCTGATTGGTGGATGAGCCGCAAGAACAGCATGGATTGTTTATTTAAAATAAATGATTTTAAATTATTGAACACCTGCTGCACCTGCGTGCAGCCCACATGTGCAGGAGAAGCTCCCTCCTGCAACATGTCACGATCTCCCCTCTCTGCCACGCCCATATTTCAGCTCCTTGCTTCAGCAGCTTCATTAACCCTTTGCTGTCCAGCTGCACCGATCGGCTTTTGTCTTCCAACTTAAAATTCAAAGTATGTCACATTGTAAAATGGTCGTAATCACAAAATATAAACGTGTTAGAAGTTATTTTCTATTATTTTAGGACTTCTATGTTCAGTTGTTTCAGTGTAACTGATCAAGAAGTACATTTCTCCTCCGTGCTGCTGCTGCGTGAAGGGTTAGCCATTTGCTGTCCTGCTGCACTTCTCTTCTCTACAATTTAAATTTAAACACTGTAATATTTTTAACTATTAGAGTATTTAAATTTAAATGTGTTATTTACACAGAAGGAGGGAGATTGGGAGTGACAGGTGATGAGTGTGATTGCAGAGCTGCCAGAGAGCAGAGATCAAGACATGCTGTGCTCTTTTAGAGCGTTTAGAAACATTGTTTAGAATATTGCAAGTGTATGAGAAGGGTTTAAAACGCCTATATATATATATATATATATATATATATATATATATATATATATAT